ATGCGTCAATATATAAAATCATTATTACAGCCACTGAATTATAGCTTTATTTTGGTAAAGGATATTTGAAATAAAGACAACGAATCATCATTTGTTGTGGGTAACATTTTTTCTTGCAGGGATTTTTGAAAAACAAATGAACGAGAGAAAAAGACACATTAAATTACCCTAAAAATCGAGCTCTTTTTAGTGGGCGGGAGTGTAACAAGTCAATATTATCAGGATAAATGTAACGCAGTGAAAGAGGTGATGATCTTGATCGACGCTTTACTTAACGCCTTCCTTTAAGGTTTGATAAATAAATACGAGTCTCCAGAAGTTAAAAACAAAAAAAAAATGTAAGGAAGATTTTCAACGGTCGGATAAATCCTCATCTGCCTCCTAATTTTCTCTGCCACATGTGTATTATTTCTCATGATTTGTTCTGGCTCCAAGAACGGTATTTTCCCAGGGGTACAAACAAGTGTTATCGAACGAAGAAAAGTCCTTGACTACTGTAACAGTAAATAATAATAATAAAAAAAGATGCTTCCAATTCTAGTGCTATTTACACCGAACAAAAGTTTGCCTTAAATATCACACATATCTGAGTATTTTATGCAGATGTGAAAACGCTTCGGAAGTTTCCAAACCGATTAATCTTTCCGTCTACAAAATGATGATGTATGTGCACTTCATGATTGAACTATTGACATTATTTTTACAATTCATCACTAGTTTCATTAGTTTCATCATTATTTTTGGAGAAAAGTTTCTGATCCTTGAGATATCTCACGATGATCAAGGTTCCATAAACATAAAAAACGGCTACCTTTAGCCATATCATTAGAAAAGCGACTCTGAGAGTGTTAAAGCTCATCTTTCAAACCGGCAAAGCTCTCAAAGCTCATCTTTCAAACCGGCAATCTAAATCCCGCAAGGATCAACGAACGCTTTTCATTCCACTAATTTATTCGTGTTTTTCTTGTTGCCATGTTCCCACCAACCCACAATTCCTCTATTCGCTCCGACGAAGGGCTAACGCTCGAAACGTCAGCTTTTCTAATCGTTACGATGGCCAATTTACCATTTCAACTTTGTTGATATATCCAAATTATTCTGAGAGTGTTAGGATGTTGATATATGACGTTATGTCTATTTTAACAGTGTGGGTTAAACATAGTCACAGGAAGCGTTTTCAACTTGACCCAAGGATTTAAAAAATCACATGACCACATGAAACAACACATTTAATTAATGGTTTTTTGCGTTACTGAAATTAAGTGAAGTATTTATTTTCTCGCATAAAGCTACATTAAAAAAGGTGTTTTTGTAAGTATCCTTATTTTGTTTTCTTCCGTCTCTCAAGTTGCTTTTTTTAGCACTGAGCCCGGTTCTGGGTCTTTATGAGCACGAGCGGAAACAATATCGCTTCCATGCTTCCATCTTTTCCGAGAATACGAATTCTCGAAAATGATCTGCACATTATGCTGAAGCTTTTGACCCCAAAAAATTTAGTCTATGTTAGAACTTCCGTAACAACAGAAGGATTAAAGATTACAATTTAATGACTTCCGTTATTTGGTTTGAGTTAAGTACCTCAACAGCACTGGCTGCTGACAAGGAATGTGCGCATTCAAATTTCGGAATCGATTTTTTTTTGGTCCGATAAACTTGAACTTGTTACTGCAATGAGTTCCGTGAGACTAGCCTTTTTGTACAAGAATATAATCAACGTAAAGAGAAAATTGCAGGGATCGGATGTCTGCATAACTTTCCTTGTTTATTTTACTAAAGACTAACTCGCGAGTGCAATATGGATATATCTGTGGGCTGTCTTTGTTGTTTTTTCTTTTCATCTGTTTGTATTTTAAAGATGTGTTTTAAAATGTATGATAATTCTTTCAGGGTAAAAAAATCTATAATGATTTCCACCTTTCTAGTGACTCAATTCTTTGCTATCTAGACATTGCTTTCAACAAAGTGTAGGACTCTAAAAAACCGGCTCTGCACGTGTTATGATTGTGGCATTACATAATGTCTTTTTATTGCGAAGATCAAAATAGTCGCAGGAAGTGTTTTGACCTGGTGCTAACCCAAGGCTCAAACTTCAAGCGAATAAAACGTGACTAAACTGTACACTCACTGGTATTAACTAGACCGGTGTGAGTTATACCCCCATTTCAATAATGTACATTTGTTTCTATCGAGACTACACTGTATGCGTAGTTAATAAAAAAAGTCTCATTACAAAGTTTCCTCCTTACTTTAGGTAACTACCGGACAATAGACGTGACACTAAATTCCCCTTGCAGTTACGGAAGTAGCGTCGCTTCCATACTTTCAAAGAATCGGAGTTCTCGGAAATAATTTCTCACGGTATGCTCTAGCTGTTGACCCCAACATTAGCACAGCTGTACGAAACTAACACTCTTCAGAGGGTATCAACGGATTTTTTCATCGACTCAACAAAAGAAGTAATACATAGATAATAATTGAAATGAATTATTTTTCCATCATTCAACCCAGATAAAGAGATAGCTAAAAACGAGGTCTGCAGACAGGTTTGCTCTGTTTGTAGAGGAGCTAGAGTTTCAGTCATAATCTTCGTTACCCCACTCGGCAAGGGCGACCGATGACGGATCAATAGCGGTGGCATCATTACCACTGACGTCACTAAGTTGAAACTGGTACCTAACGTTTTTTGGGGTTGAAGCCTGTCAGTGCAGTCAAGCCGAATGCAACGCGGCACACGGAAAGCTGGGTGAATTTCTGCTGAATCATTACAGGACATTGCCAATGACAATCCTCAAATTATAAGCCCGATTTCCAAGCATAATGTTGTTAGTCAGTCTCTACTCTCCATGGTGCTTGATTACTTTCTCTTGGTTGTCCATTCCACAAGGGCGTGCCCGAGGATTCCCCCTTCCATGGTAGGCCTTCTTTTGAGCAAACAACCTACAATATTCAGGTGGTGAAAATGCCATGACAATATCTTGGCCTTCCCACTATACTCTCACTGCTCATCCCAAAACTGTAACATTAAGTAAAACATGCACGGCGTGGAGGTCGACATGACAATCTGGGGAGTAGCCTCTTTGACTCCCCCTTTGAAAAATTCTGGCTACGCCCCTGTTCCTAGTTCTGCATTCGTTGGCAACGGCCTCATATGTTAACTAAGGGAATTAAAAAAATACTCAAAATTCAAATAAAAAAAAAAACACTTTTTTGCGACAGTTGTCTATTACTCAACTGTCTGGGGCCGTCTGTCGCCAATATATCCTCGGTTTTTGTTTTGTTTTATATATAATACATTATTTTTACAGAACATAATTTTCTAAAACACAAGTAATTTCTTAGTGAATGTAGTTGACCTTAGTCCCCTAAAACTTTTAACAGAAAAATAGGAAGATACCTCGCAGATTTGAAAGACATGCCATGGTTCTAATTGTCAGCACAAAACTACTTAACATTAGTTTTTACTAATTATATGAATGGAGTTTCCACCAGTCAGATCAAGCATTTTGAGAACTGAACCCAGAACTAATAGATTGATATCGCCTCAAGAACTGATGCTGGAGTACAGCTTGTTTATAATAGTGCCGGATGCTTTTCAAGTTATCGCCTCAAGAACTGTTGCTGAAGTACAGCTTAGTGCAGGGATGGTTTTTGATGATATCACTCTCACTAAAACTCAAAGGGGGTGATCACGAAAACATCTCATGGGTGTGGAACTGATATTCAAAGGACGCCTTATGATCACAATCCCTCCTTTTGTGCTCAAGTGGATTTAAATCAAGTAAACTTTAACAGAGAAATCAAAGAAATTCAAATCTTGAGAGACGAGGAAAGTAGAAGGACAATATATGCGAAGAACTATGTTTTTCGTAAAATTTGACCTATTTCATTGACGTAATGGATTAGAGTCTTTCATTTCCCCATAAGTAACTACAGGGTTGTTTCGTTGGGAGAGATTTATGTTACATCCAGAAAACTGCAAAACAGATAACCTTTATCAGTAATAGAAATGAACCAGCCTATTGAAGGAATGAAACTCCTCTTTGTTGATATAAAAGAAAGAATTATAGTTCTTGTCTGGGCCAATGTTAGAATTTACCATCATTGNAAAAAAAAAAAAAAAAAAAAAAAAAAAAAAAAAAAAAAAAAAAACACGCCCAGGCAAGGCCGTCCATAGCACAAATTCTTGTTTAAGTCTGCATGTTTATTCTAGCAATAGCCTCCACTGAGGAAGATCGAGTCGCCAGTTTCGTCAAGTGCAAACTAATATAGTCAGCAAAAAGAACTTCGCACATCGTTGGTTTTTCCTTTATTTGTGATTATGCCAGGGAGTGTTCCTGAAACAGCTTCTACTCGTCAACCAGTTTAAGGTTATTCGTTGGAGCTTGTTTACTATGACAAAAGCAATTTCAATTTTCACGAATAAAGGCGATGAGCGATGTGTTGTCCTTCAATGTGGCTCGTTTCGTTTGTTGCCTGCTTGTTCTGCTTTTTTATTTGTTTATTGCCTTGTAAAGAGTTAATATCAAGGAAGAAATTATGGGACTAAATATATGTGTAAACGTATCCCTTTGGTTATTATATACATCAGTTAATAACCGATAGCTCTTTAGATTCATATTTCTGTCTGACTCTCACATATTCTAATGAAATTTTGAACCCATAAATCCGATCAAAGTTTGATACTTTTTTTGAAATCGACGAATGTTGTGTCAATGTTATTACGCGATCGTAATTGTCATTATGTACATTTTTGGTTAGATACAATATATATATGAAGTTCATATATCTTGAACTTCTGATTTATTATCACGGGTCTGTTACGAATCAACTTAACGGCCTGCTCCCAGTTGGCTTGTTAACTCAATTGGTAAAGCGCTGCACTAGTATCGCAGAGGTCAGTGGTTCGAATCCCGTACAGGCCTGATTTTTTTCAGGTCTGATTTTCGCTATTGCATAAATAGCGCTCTCTACTGCGAGGATCGTGCATCATACGTGTACATTTTTGTTTCTTATATTTATTTGGATTTTTTAAAATTCACCTTTGGAAAGGCTTTCGACTGGACAAAGCTCTTTAATAATATTTATTAATAATCTATCAAAAGCGTTTGGTGTGGTATAGATCTTGCCTTGGAGTTTTGATTAAAGTTGGAATAGAACACCACATCCATCTAAAGTATAAACAACAGAGTTCAATAGATGAAACCTCTCTAGAACACTTGAAACCCTTGAAAACAATAGCCACCGAAAAAAAAAAAAAACTAACGATAGGAAGATAAAAAACAACGAATTGGCTAGCAAAAAAACAATATAAAAACAAAAACAAAAACAAACACAACAAAGAGAGTATAAATTAACAAAGCCACCGAGTCCTAGAGTAAGATTGGCTAAGATAGTCTTATTTGTTGACGATCAGTCTGAAGCTTAGGCAGCTAACGACTTTGCATCGACTTTCTGTTTGTAAAATCATTTTCTCTTAGGTGCAGTTCAAAGCACTGGTATTGCAGATCTGAAAGAGTCTTGTAGGGGTGAAGGAAAACTGCCACGAGTTTGAAGCCATATTTTTTGTAGAGTCGAATGGCTGGTGTCTGTGCGTTAGTTGTGGTGAGTACAAGTCTTTCTAGTCGTTTATCTTTCGCGTAATTAAGGAGCTCGTCGAGTAGTTTCCTGGCGATTCCCATTCTTCTACAGGCTGGTGATACAGACATCCTTTGAAGTTCAGCCACTCCGGGTTTGTGGCTCTCATTATGTACGAGTCCAACCATTCCAACAACTTTACCACTCCATTCAGCCACCCACATGTGGCATCCATCGTTGGTCATGTAAGTCTTTTCAATGTCCCTCAAATCTGTTGCTAAACACGAGTTGATGAACTTCCAACACTCTATGTACACATGGATATACAACATAGAAAGTGCAATTGCGCAGGTAAGGATGTAGAGGTAAAAAGCTGTGCTGGTCCACTGGAATAACACAACGAGAACAAGAACGAAGAGGCTTGATGCAGAGCTTAGCCATATGTATCTTGGAAACACAACACGTAGAACCAAACTGATCAACTGCACCATACCTTGAGTAAAAATATCTCGGCAGTTTTGAAGATCTTTAGTTCTGTATGCTCTTACTTGGACATAATTGCTGTTCGATAGCTGATAGGATTGTTGTGCCCTCGGTTCTTGATGAGTGTGCGAAGAGGAGATCTATTAGAAAACAGAGACTCAGTTTTGCAATGTTTGTAAATCCGGCAGGTGTATATCAAAACAAGTATTTGGAAAGATTAGGTGATTCGATTGAAAAAATGTTGCTTTTCTACCGAAACGAACAGAATAGGAAAAATTAATTGTAAAGGTTTTATAATTTGGAATCAAATACTCGAAGCTACAGTTCGAAAAAGAGAACTGAGTCCGTATTTATGCTGAATAACAATAGAGCCAAGTCTGTACATGTCGCTCTACCAAAAAGACATAACAGGGGATATCAGGGTTTATTACACGACTCGGGCAGTCAGAGGGCCAATAACTAAAATCAACCAATCAAAATGCTCTATTGCCGGTCCAATATTCTCTAAGTATTGGACCGGGCACTGTCCCGAATGGTCCCGGATGATACCGCACTTGTGTCCCTTTGAACTTCAGTCGTATAATAAATCTCTTATTAACCAAGCTTGCTCGGGACCGTACTGAAAGAATATCGGCCCTCGGTCTTTTTTGTACGGACCGAGCGCAGCGAGGTCCGTACTGTCAAGACCTCGGGCCGATATTCTCCCAGTACGGCCCTCGCGCTTGGTTAATAAGATATATATAATATAGGGTTTAGTAAATTATACCTGAAATTGTACAATTAGCGAGAAGTAAGAGGAGCCAAGCAGAATGAAAAGCCTGCGAAAAAAAGAAAACAAATCTTTTGCTTGAAAATTGTCAGAACCCGCATGTTTCTCCTTGAATTACCTTCATCTTCATCGTGAATGTTTCCTTTCGCAAAGTCTGTCTGATTCTAGACTGTAGATGTTTGCTTTAGCCTCTAGCTTATCTGGCAGCTTATCGAGTACTGACAAAATTTGACCTCTTCTGCCGAGTTTTGTTCGTCTGACCCACAAGTGGAGTTATCTGTGAGATCAGGAGTAAATTTGTGGTAAGTGCTTACAGAAACAATCAGACGAAGATTTAAGCAAATAACTGACGGAGCAGACGGCACAGCAATTAATTCAAACCCGAACGTTCGATGCAGTTATACCCAAAACGACCTACGAATGAATCTTTAATCCATCGAGTCTCGTCAACACTTTAAACGGGGACAAATGAAACCCCTGAAAAAAACTAAAAAAAAAGCCCGGCTCACTTTGCATGAGGTAACAGTAAACTATCAGGTGTCAAGGGAATGTTGCACTACAGAACTTAAAGCACCGGCATTTAACTTTTAACCGCTTGAAGCAATCAATTATAATTACCTGAGTATCCAACGTTGCTGCTTATAATTTTCCACTTAACAGTAGCAATTTTTTTACCCCCTTTGAACGTTTTGTTATCAATATCATAAACGTGAGTCGAGGTCAAAGTCTGATGATACGGGCGACGCCGGATTTCAAAGATCAGTCGATCTAATGACGACCAATGGAATTTGAATATTTGTAAAGAATACATGGTGCTCCACGTGCCAACCATAAAACATAACTAAACAGTTCTATCCACCCGTCTGTAAGTGGATCTGAAGTAACGCCATATCAAACGTAGTTCTCTTCAGCTATTTTGACGGAGGACTTCTAGCATTTTAAGTAAGGTATAAAATATCACACCGTACAGAAAGACGATGTGTTTACAACTCTTGAAGAGAGACCACAAAAATGTTAAGTCTTGTTACTAAGTAACACGAGAAAAATATTTTTTAGGTAGATCTTCCGCCGGTCATGCAATCAGTTAAAGACAGCCTGAGGGTTGTCAGTTGCTATCATAATCCTTACAGTGAATGACCCATGATATCAAGATTACATGCAGTTATCATAATTTTTTTTCGCATTTTTTTCCGCAGTACTGTCTTGTTTACCCGATCAACTCAACTCAGCTTCCACGACATTTATTGTTAAAGAAGAGGAGTCGACACGTTCATATGTGCACGCCCGGGCAAATAACAAATTAAACAAAACAAACAGCAGTAGAAATTCGCAGAAAAGTCAAAGAAGTCTAACAGATTAACCCTTTGAATGCCAACCCAGGTGCATGCCTCGCAACCAGCGGCCATATTGGATTTTTCATAAAATAATTTTACTCAACAATTTGAGCCCTTTGGCATTGTATAACTCTTTTTAGTAATCAATCTTGCACTACAATAGTCAATACATCAAATATGTATTTTTATTGGCTAGGTTATTACAACCTCTATGCCAGTGTGGTTGCATTTATAATAAAAAAACAATTTGATAAAAATGATTTTCAAAAACATCTTATATAACAGATTTCATTTCTTCTTTGTACTCCC